TTTTTTTGTTTGTTTATTTGTTTGCTGCTGTTCTTTTCTATATTATTTTTAACTCAAGCTTGGGTAAGACACAGCAGTGCTGTCTGCCTTTCTGTGGCTCGATGGTTTAGTCTCTAATTGGTCCTAAGGCATTTGAGCTCCATGTTATTTCCCCAAAGGCCATGGCCCTTTGAGGTTGTTAGCAGAGCAGCAGGTGGCAGAGTAGCCAGAGCATTTCTGGCCTGGCAGTTTTTGCCACCTTCTTTGAGTTTTATTCCCTGGAGTGAGGAGAACGGCTGCTGATAGGGCAGAGAAGAAGGGAGAGGGGCCTCTGCATCTTTTCAGTGCTATTGGCTGGTTTTGTTTTCTGGCATCTATGAGACTTGAGCTTTGGAGACTGGCCATCGAACATCCTGTTTGCACTGAAGTTGTCTCTCTTCTTCCCCCTCTCTTCTCTTTTCCTCTGGTTGCAGAGTTGCTGCGATAGCACCAAGGTAAGAACATGAAACAGCACTTCTGGGCTCATTTCTCACATGGGGGTTGTTATGTTTTGAGCAAAAGGTATCTGGTGTTCTAAGCAGATAGAGGCAAGTTTAGCTGGGATCTCAAAAATCACTGTGCTCTTTAGAGAGCTGGGCAACAGAGGTTAATAACGTAACTCCAGATTTGCTGAGTGCTGAATTCATCTAACCTGCTTAGAATCACGCTGTGTGGATTCCTGTGCAGCAAGTGCTAAGGAATGCCAGCACGCTTTCAGTCCTTAGGCTCAATCCTGCTCTTGCTGAAGTTAGTGGAAGTTTTAGGGTGGAGCTGCATCAAGCCTTACAGATGTTGGGATTGGCAAGGATTCTCTTGTGCCATGAGCGTGCGACCAAGCTGCAGCTTCCAGCCCTTTCTGATAAAGCTGAATGAGGTGCTGTAGGTAGTTCTTTACTTCTGGGAGCCTCCCCTGGTGCAAGGAGGGCTGGTTTCCCTGCTGATGCTAGATGGAAAGGTTTGTTGCAGAAGTGACCTGTGACTCCCCTGCTCAGTGCTTTCTGCAAAAAAAAAGGGAGGAAGGACAACTGGAATTTCTGCGTGGATGGTCTCAGCACACAGAGCAGCCATCTCTGGGTAGGAGAGTCCAAGGAGGAAAGAGAAGTCAGGCTTGCTCCATTAGAACAAGAGAAGGGCCAGAACTAGAAATGTGGGGTGTAAGAGGATGTTGGGTGGAAATGTGTAGGGATGGAGGAAGGGAAATGGGGTACCATCAGTCAGAAGTGGATACGTGTGGGTGAAAGGCAGCCCAATTCACTTTCTCAAGAACATCCTGCCCCTATTCTGCACATCTCCTCTGTGCTCCTGAGGCTACAGAAATCCTTGGGTTCCCTCCCTTCTTAGAATAATGTTTATAAAGCAGGGCTTGAGTTTCTCCCAGGTGTGTTGGATTTTGAAGAGCAAAACAGGGGATATATTACAGGAAATAAGGAACCGAACATGCTTTCCAGTGCCAAAGGCCTTGGCAGCAGGTTCTGCTGCTATTCTGAGATGTCAGCCAGCCCTGAAGGAGGAGTCAGTATATTATCCTGTATTTCTATCTGGTCCAGGAACCTTGCATATAGATTCCAGGTATGGAGCAGCTTCCTGCAGCAGGAAAGGTGATTTGGCTCAGTGGGACTCTGTACAGGGAAAACTCAAGGAAAAAGCATAACCTGAATATTCCCACCAGGCAACAGGGTCTGCTGTGAAACTTGTTATGCCGGACTCAACACAGGAGATTTTGTTTAAAGACTTGTTTGGAGAAGCTGCTGATGACTGTTTTACATCTTTTGCACATGGAGGTCTCCGCAAGAAACTGCTTGTGGAGAAAGAAATTGGGGGCAGAGGTGGAAGAACTAGATGAGGGAAGGGATAGTAGAAGGAATATCTTGGGAATGGGAACTTTACCTCAAATGAGTTTATTGCAATTGTTATCTGCAGTATGTGAACAAATGTGGTGAGACAGACTCTGGACTTGCGTGCTCTGTGCCCATGGGGAGAAGCTGAGAGGGAGGGCAATGCAAACCAGATGTTTGTCATTTTCTTTGATGCATCTCCTGAGAAATGCTCAGACAATATGGTCGTGGAGCAGAGTCAGGTACTGAACATGATGGGGAATAGCAGAAGTGCCTTCCTCCCTATAGGAGATGCGGGTTTTGGGTACAAAATGTGCTTTAAAAGCACTGGAATGGGGTACCCTGAAAAACCTTCCTGCTCCAAAACTTGCTTTAGTTTGCTGCTTTTAATTTGTGTTCTTCTCTTTTTGACTGAAGATAAACAAGAGCTTATGAGGACTTGCACCTCTCTCCTCCCTCACAGATGGAAGGCTCCAAGGAAAGAATCGTCCTGAATATCGGGGGAGTGAGATATGAGACGTACAGCAGCACCCTCCAGACCTTCCCAGGGACCAAGCTGTGCAATCTAACAGAGCCCCACGCCCCAAGCATCTACGACTATGACCCCACCACCAAAGAGTTCTTTTTTGATCGGAGCGCTGAGATCTTCGGCTACGTGCTGAATTATTATAGGACCAAACATTTCCACTGCCCCATTGACATCTGTAGGTCAGTCTTAGAAGAAGAGCTGGCTTTCTGGGAAATCAATGAGACACAGCTAGCGCCCTGCTGCTGGCTGAAGCTGAATAGCAAAGAGGTGCAGCCAGAGGACTTTAACGTTTGGGATGAAAATGAACAGACTGATGACCAGTGCCTCATAGTCCAGGCAGAAAGAAGGGATTTCAGCTGGCGAACCAGGTGGCAGCCAAAGATTTGGGCTATATTTGAAAAACCCTTTTCCTCTTTCAGTGCTAAGGTAATACTATACGTGTCCTGTACAGCCTGTGTCCTCTGGGATTACTGGAATGGGTCCATGAAAAATGCTAATGGCTTCATAGTTTTGATAAGTATGCTTTGAGTCGCTGATCAAAAAAGAAAATAAAATTCTCTCTTCTCATTAACAGACCCTTCCTCCTTCTCTCCTCCTCTTGTCCCCGTTCTCTGTACAAAATGCACACCCCGTGCCTCTTTAAAATGTCAGGCATGCAGAGCAACAAACACAGGTCAGAGACCGCAGAGGGTGTTTTCTGTGCTGCTGGTATTTCTGGAGCCAACATTTAGTGCTGAAGAGGCCCTCAGTGTGAGTCTGTCCGCATTACTGCAGCTGTCAGACATTTCCCCTTCCTTACAAACTTTGAGATAGGAGTTCAGGTGGCTTTTTTTTTTCCTTTTACTCCGATTTTCTCTATTATTTTACAGTTCCGAAAGCAGAAAATGCACTCCATGTGAGCGAAGCAACAATGATTGGTCTGGGATCGTGCTGTGCCTGTGGAGGGGATCCTGGGGTTGTGGTGGGGCTGTGAGGTTATGTGATACTTGTTTGTTGGGCTAATTGCACATCTGCCCTTTCCTCCCTCTGCAGTGCTTGGCTTTTGTTTCTCTGCTGTTCATCGTTGGAATTGTCATCATATTCTGTGAGGAGACCAAGGCACAATTTGAGTACTTTACTGCTAACTTCACCTCTGTTGGCTATTCTGAGGTCTCCCACAACGACCATGGACCCTATTACCACCAGGCTGCCTACTTGCTTCATCTGGAGCTTTTCTGTGTCCTCTGGTTTACTTTTGAGTTCTCTGTGCGATTTTGTGTCTGCCCAGACAAGAAGTTGTTCTTCCAAAATCCCCTGAACGTGGTTGACTTCCTCTCCCTCTTCCCAGTTTATATCGAACTCTTTGTGGCTGGGCAGATTCAGGGAATGCCAAGCCTGGGGCTTTGGTTGGGCTTTGTTCGCATTGTCTATCTCCTCAAACTCCTGAAGATCTCCAAGCTGATAGAAACGCCACTGATCCTCAGGGTTCTGTGCTACACCTTCAAGTCTATCCTCAGAGAGATCTGCATCCTGCTGATGATTTTGGCCTTTGAGACCCTCTTCTTTGGCTCTCTCTTTTTCTATGGGGAGTTGCTGGGTAGCCATCCCTCCTACAGAGGGGAGCTGTACTTCACTGACATTCTCATTTGCTTCTGGTGGGCTTTGATCACACTCACTACGGTGGGCTATGGAGATATTATCCCTCTCACCACAGCTGGCCAAGTGATGGCAGCCTTAGCTGCAGTATTTGGCATGTTAACTATTATCATCCCAATACCCATTTTCCTGGTGAAATTTAAAAGCTATTATGACATTGCTATCTTCAAACAGAGGCTGAAAAGGAGCAAGAAGCTCTAACATTTCCCAGCCTCTGTTTCCCTTTGCCTTTAGCCATAAACCTTCAGGATGGTTTATTCCCTTTGGTGGGAAGGGAATGCAAATAGTTCTTATTGCATTTACTTGCTGCCTTAGCACAGATCGAACCATTGGTGGGGCCTCAAGTTGCAGTACTTGATCCATGGATGATCAGACCTGTCAAATCCCATGGGTCTTTCCCATACTGTACTTCCTCCCATGCTTTTTTATATGCAGCAGTTTCTTATCCAGCCATTTGCAGACAGGCTGGGGTGCTCCTTTATGGCCTGAAAGTGCACCACGTAGCCCAGTTCCATCACCTGGGGCCCCTGCATATACCCTCAGCTGGTCTACAAGCCATGATGCTAGTTGTGCCCTCCATCGCCTGACAGACCATAATCTCATTTTTCATGCTGGGCAAGAAGATTTGTGCACGGTCCTGCTCTGACAGTGAGGAGAAAGCATGGGGTTTTTGATTGCTTTGTTTTTTTTAAACAATGTTTTCTTTCTGAAATCACTGAGTATCCATAGTCCTGGGAACCAGCACCGTTTGATAACCCACCCTGTGGGCTCACAGGAATTGCCGTGGCATTCGGGTAGCAGCAAGGGAGCCCTCCGACAGCAAATCCTTTTCTGGCTCTGCTGAAGTCAGTGGCAACTTTTCCTTGACCAAAATGCCATTGGGCTCTTCCAGTGGATCAACACGTTTCAACAGTCCTTGATTTTTGTGTAACCAAGTCACTGAGCTGTTAAACAAAATATCTGTTGTGGTTTTTGCTGTTGGAAAGGAAGAATGTAACCTAAAATGCTCAATATAATTTTAATGTCATTTACTTTCTTAAGGCATAGATATTAACTAGGAATATTTGTCTTTTAACTGGATAGCCTTAATTGTTACCTGTGTTTAATTTTGAAATAACAAATATTGTTGAGGTACGAAAATAAAACACATCTCATTGTTTATATAGCAGAATTATGTGCTAAGATTATTTTGTTTAGTACCTAAGAAATTCTGTATACAGTACATTTGTGTATTTGAACTTCATCAAGGCTGTATTTTAATTGCAATTTTGATTGTTTTGTCTGTCACTATGATTTTTCTGTTCAGGATAGCATTTTAAGGCTGCTTTGTTTTTATTGAAACACCAGGTAACTTCCCTCTATTCCAATGCAATTAGAATGAATTAGTTTTTGTCTAAAGACGAAGAAAAACCACTGCAAACGTTTTAGGCACAAAGCACATGAGAATTTGCAGACACTCTAGGAGTGGAAGGAAGTTCTAGGTGTTCTCCTGCACCTGCCTTTGCTATACACATGGGGGTAGTAGATGTATATTTCTGTCACATCAGTTGGTGTCCACTCCTGTTTGCCATAAAAACAGCAGTTACAGCATCAACATCAAGTCAATGTTGATGTGACAGAGGAACTGCAGGTTCCTGTGGATCAAGGGATCTAACCCTGCTGAGAACTCAGCACTGGGTTTATTGGAGGAAGAATATGTGCTGTCAGCTCAAGTAACCTGCATGGAGTTGGTGGCAAGCAGAACTGGTTGGGTCAACAGTTGTTGTTCAGTTGAAGAGCAGTATATGGAAAATCACCAGCTATGAAGTGTTCCCACACTTTAGGTGGATTTCAATGCCTTGCTCATGATCTTCATGATATAGATGTTAATGGTATCCTTGGGGAAAGAGTCTCTTTTTCTGGGAGTCGAAGTACTATATATATAAGGAAAACGATGACTTAAAAAAATACACTGAACTCAGAGAAGAGTGCAATGAAGGATATAATTCACTCCAGAGAATAATCACGCAGCTGAGCTTCAAAGTACCAAAGACAGAAATATATTATCTTGGCTACATGCTGGAGTTGCCTCTTTTGAGGCTGGTCCAGTCACCAGAAGATATTGTGGAGAAATAGCCTTCTGTGTATTAATAATATACAAATCATAGAACTATCTCCACGCCAGTAAAAGCAGAGGGCATGGCAGGCTCTTCCTGAAAAAAAAAGAGAGAGGATCTGGGCTTTGACAGCAGACTCTGAAAAAACCTGTAGCAGATTTTGGTATTGAGAAGGTTGGGATTTGGAATAGAGAGCAAGAGAAACTGGTGGCATTTTACATCAGTGGACTGTTCCCACTCGGTCACCAGAGCATTGGACATCACAGGATGTTCTTTGCTGCAGTATTAATACCCAAATGGGATTCAGGTAAGAGGTATCCATGTACAGTGAAAGTGGATTTTGTGAGGATTCCCATCTCAGATGGGATCTCAGCAGTTGGCAATGTGTTTTTATTTTGAACCAGAATAAAAAGTCAGAGCCTGGGTATCCCTTCAGAATCAGATTGTGAGGGTGCAGTGGGGACCAGCGGCTCCTGAAAGGTCAGGGAGCCAGGAGTCAAGCCCAAAACCACAACCACCACTCTGTCAGGCAGGACCCAGTTATGCAGTACTGAGGTGAACTGGGCAGACCCAGGGATGGAGCCAGACTCAGCTGGGACTCCTGATCATGGGGCAAAATTGTGGTGATAAGATAAGAGGAGAATCTGCAGACCAGCATCAGGATCACATCCAGTAACAGTTACCAGGGTCACCCAGCCCAGCGATCACCAGGTGAGTCCAGAGTGAAACAATCACTTCGAGAATACCAAATTGTCTCATTTTGATTTGGTAAAACCACTTGCTTGCAATAAAGGCAAACCAAGAGAAAACGTTTTTATGTGTCCAACATGCAAACCCAATAATGTAGTAACACAGATGTAATGTCCAAAATAAGAAAGATGTAATCAGGCATTTTTAGCTCATCAAAATCCTTCCCTGATCATGGGGCAAAATTGTGGTGATAAGATAAGAGGAGAATCTGCAGACCAGCATCAGGATCACATCCAGTAACAGTTACCAGGGTCACCCAGCCCAGCGATCACCAGGTGAGTCCAGAGTGAAACAATCACTTCGAGAATACCAAATTGTCTCATTTTGATTTGGTAAAACCACTTGCTTGCAATAAAGGCAAACCAAGAGAAAACGTTTTTATGTGTCCAACATGCAAACCCAATAATGTAGTAACACAGATGTAATGTCCAAAATAAGAAAGATGTAATCAGGCATTTTTAGCTCATCAAAATCCTTCCGTCTTTATTGATCAGAAAGTAAAAAAAAAACCGCTTAATCTGCAGACCAGCATCAGGATCACATCCAGTAACAGTTACCAGGGTCACCCAGCCCAGCGATCACCAGGTGAGTCCAGAGTGAAACAATCACTTCGAGAATACCAAATTGTCTCATTTTGATTTGGTAAAACCACTTGCTTGCAATAAAGGCAAACCAAGAGAAAACGTTTTTATGTGTCCAACATGCAAACCCAATAATGTAGTAACACAGATGTAATGTCCAAAATAAGAAAGATGTAATCAGGCATTTTTAGCTCATCAAAATCCTTCCGTCTTTATTGATCAGAAAGTAAAAAAAAACCCGCTTATCATAGAATCACAGAATATCCCAAGTTGGAAGGGATCATTGTGTCCAACTCCCTGTTTCTCACAGGACAACCTAGAGCGAAATCATATGACAAAGAGCACTTTTGACTCCTTTCCTGAAAATGTCAGTAAAAAGAACACGTTCCTGCAAAACAGCTTAGGCTTTCCCACCCACCCAGCCCACGCTGACTTGTGCCCAGCGCTCCCCAGTGTGGAAGGATGAGGAGTTGCTTGTCACTGGGAAACTCCCCGACACGGCTTCACAGAGTGCAAAAGTGATGGGGAAAAGGGACTTCTTCCTGGCAGTGCAGCTTTCCCAAAGCAGAGGAGTCCCTTCCCCTCTCCAGACCACGCTTCTCTTTCTCTCTTTGTGGAGCCTCTGAGCTGCAGGTTTCCCAAGACAGAGGAGCACAGGGAGGAGTTGTGCTTAAGGGAGGGATAAGGGAAAAGCGTTGCTGTTATGCATCACAGTTCCCTGATGACTCCAGCACAGCCCAGCAAAGGAAGGTACCGAGGCTTATCCAGGCTTATGACCTGCTCCCTTGGCCCTCCTGGGGAGCTGGTGACTGTGTCCTCTGGTCAGCTTTAGGTCTCTTTTGCAGTGCTTAGGTAGAAGCAGGGAGTCAGGTCTTAGGCCACAGGGAGTAGATGAGAGCAATGGCATGGGGATGGATTGTGCTGGACTCCCAGATGTGATTTTTAGATGTGTGGTTTCCTAAACTGGCCATGTCATGCACTTTGTGCTTAGAAGCCACTGTCTTCCTAGGTTGCTTCATTCACCCCCAATGCTTGTTTTCTTGTCCTGTTCTAAATCTCTTTCCTCTTTCACTTAAAAATAAAGTATTTAACACAAGTTGTCTCACAGTGGGATAAGGACCAAACTGCTTCTGACGCCCTGCATGATAAATAAATTCGTGGTCAAGAAGCCTCTGCTAGACCACCCTCCTCCCCCTTGGCACTTCCACAGGAGCTTGGTTTTCAGGCTAAGTTTCTAAAGGACTGTGTTTTGTGGCTGGTCCCCATCCCAGCCAAGCACTTTCAGACTAGTGTTGTCCACTCCTCAGGAGCAGCAGAGAAAACAAGAATAAAGCCTTCTTCAGCAAGACAAAATGGGCCATCCTGGTTGTCAGTTTTCTTGCTCAAATGAGATTTTGAGGTGCAACTTGCCAAAAAGTGAGGTTCTTTGCTGCAGCTGAAAGTGGGAGCCTGACCAAGGTGGCCACGTGTGCTGTGTCCCACACCCTTTTCTTGCATTGATTTGCAGCAACTTTCATGCTCCAGCTCCATACCCCTTCTGCCACAGAGTGGCAGCAAATTAGCTGATATACTTGGTCTCATGTCTCTGGCACAGTTGCAGGGCTTGTGAGGTGAGGAGGATTCAGGCTGAAGTAGAGAACTGCTGGTGGTGGCCATTCGTCCCTGGTAGAGAATATTAACTCCCACTTGCTTCCCAGCTGGTGACAGCCTGAAAGCAGTTAAAGGTTTGGTACTCCTGTCCCTCTCTTCTGTTTTCTTAATATTATCTACACTCGATGGGCTGAATTTCCAGTGATTTTAGCCATGTTAGCTCCATAGCATCCCCAAATACACGAAGCTTGCAGCTGTGCTTCGGGGGGTTGTGACAAATCCCTGCTCCCTGTGCATTGAAAGTGGTGCAGTTATTGGACCCAAACTGCCCAAGGCTGGGATGGAGAAGCCATAAACCCCTTGAAGGAAATCTGTTGGGCAAGTGTTTCATTATAGTAAAGGTCAAACCCCAATCACTGCTTCTCTCATCTCCTGCAAAGGCTGTTACAGAGGATACCGTTCACAGAAGGAATAGGATGTCAGACTTACTGACCCCATGAAATGGATGCAAAGGGCCACCGACGCAGCTGAGGACACCTTCAGAGGAACAAGCCATGTTCTCGGCCACCCTGAATACTGCCAGCACCACGACCGGTGAGAGTTTGTTGTGGCAACGAGGGCAGTGACTTTCCTGGTCCCTCGGGGTGTGGAAAATTTAGGGTCAGGAGCAGCACACTCCCACAATCACCCAGCCTGCGCTTCCAGGGCACCTGCATGGCTTTCTGTGGGCAGTGACTCAGCAGCAAAGGGAAATTCTGGTGAAGCCCCAGGCTCTGACTCAGAAAGCAAATGCATTTGACATATGTGGGAAGTGAACGCAAGTTCCCAAATCTGGAGGTTTCTCAGGAATCAGGAACAAGCACCCTCAAGAGATACGCTGGCAGAGATGATCATGCTGTTAAACTTCTGCTCACTGAGCTCACTGAAGTGAGATATCTGCCCCTTGCAGATATCTGCCTTTTTATGTTTCTGTGCCATTGTAGCACTGCTCTCCTGCACATACTTAGATTTGATGTTGTTGTACTTGTCTGAGAAGATTTTCATTCAGATCCCTTCAGTCTGTGAAGAAGAGATGGGAAATCCTTGATGACTGAACGATGGGAGAGTGTGTGTGTGTTTGGGGGGCCCTGTCCACTGGCTGTGCCCAGGCAGCT